AATTGGCGAAGAATGTTCTTGTAGAGCTAGGGTCTTAACCAGTGTTTTGATATGTGTAGTGTACCAGGAAGCCATTGCCTCTGTCCATCCATGTTGATGGATTGGAGTTTGTGAATAAATTCCAATTCATCTGTTTTCTTTCCAATCTTCCTTTGCATTTTTTGTTTTGTTTTGTTCAAGGACCATTGTCCTTTCAAGGACTGAAAGTTTAGGCGTGAAAGAGAATAGAGTGGATTGTAGGCACTGTTGTTGGCAGGCAGTTGGAAACCTTGACTGGTAGAAAGTAGTCTTGGGATTAGCTAAACTTTGGTATAAATGCCAGAGCCTGGACATTTTTCTTTCAGTTTACTCAGCTCGAGGTTGCAGGATCTTCACTCTCCTTACTTTCAGGACCCTGAATTGTAAAGCCTAGAGCAGACGTGGAAATCTTGCAGCTTTCGGATATTTTGTTGAACTGCATCTCCCTGCAGCCCTTAACCGACATGGACAATGATGCGGAATGCTGAAAGCTGTTGTCCAATAAAATCTAGAGGGCTACATGATTCCTGGTGTCCTGGCAGACAGTGGAAGGGGTGCTTATTTGAGGGCTCAGTGAGCAGTAGAGCAAGAAGTGCATAGACCGGTGTTGTGGCCAAGGAGGGAGTAGGTGGGAAAGTGAGATGGGAAGCAAATACGGGGGGATTACAGAGGAGAAAGATCATAGACAGAAGCCTAAAGCAACTGGGTAGGAGTGGCAGCAAGCCACAGGTAGGACATGGAGAGCCAAGAGGTGTGTAAGTTGCTGGAAGGAGAGGTGACTTTAGTACAGTAGAAGGTGGGGTGGGAAGGGTGGAGAACTCGTGGTTTTGGCTGCTGACCAACAACTTATAAAAACAATAGCAGAAAAAGGCCAATCTACATAGCTTCTGCTTTGGATCTCTGCCCAGTGGCGTGGATAAAACCAGTTTCATGAGTAAGAGGGTGTAGGAATTTGCATGGCATTGTGTGCCCCACCGATTATGGAACGTAGCCTCTGGCACCAGGGGTGGAAGGGTTCCCATCCCATCCCTCACTGCACAAGGCACACTTCAGTCTATTTCTGGTTTGCAGTACCTGGAATTTTAGCCAATATGCAGCCATTTTGTGAGGGTATTGGCTGAGAGGGTAATTTAAATGGCAAACTGCTGTTCCAGGAGCAGCGATTTACTGTCTGAGAGCATTTTAATCATTCAAGGGGGCACAAAAAAGTGATTGCTGTAGGCAAAATCCTATCAATAGAATAAGCAAAACCAAGCTCCCTTCCCCATTAGTTTATTTTACAAAGCAAGTTCCTAATTCTCATGATGGCAGGTGGGCCCTTTCGTTTCCTTTATTTCTATGTACAGTTTTGTATGCGTCTCGCACATCAGCTCAGGCAAAGAGTAGATCCACAAACAGTTGTCATAGATGTTAATTCATTTACATCACACCTTTTCCCCAAAACTGGCACTCCAGTTGGCTTACAAAAATGAAAACAAAAAAGGTTCAGATCCTTTACGAAGAGACATACCAAAAGATACTGTTAAAATGCAATTTAACTATTGATAGAATTAAAACTACAGTGGTACCTTTACTTACGAATGCTTCATCTTACGAAATTTTCGACTTACGAAACGCGC